GGAGAGACGGCTCAGAGGTTAAGAGCACTGGCTGTTTGTTCTTCCAAGGGTCCTGAGTTCAATTCCCAGCAACCACACGGTGGCTCCCAACCATCTGTAATGAGGTCTGGTGCCCTCTTCTGCCCTGCGGGCATATATGCAGACAGGATACTGTATACATAATAAATAAAGAAATTAAAAAGAGAATGAAAGAAAGAAAGAAAGATAGCTGTGGTGACCTGCTGACCTTTGGCCTCTGACCCAAATAGCACCCCAAACAATCATGCTGGCTCTGACTTCAGCTGGCTCTGACACCACGTAGAATGCTCCATCCCTTCCTGCTGATTTGAGGCCCCATAGAACATCTGGTCTTAAATCTCAAAGACCACTGACCTCTGGCTCTCAGTTTACCTAGACCTCTGACCTTTGGTGTGTTCTGAGAATGAGTCTGGACCTGTCAGGTGAGGTGACATGTGCCCTGTCACCCCAGCACTGGGGAGGCTGAGACAGGAGGATGAGTGTGCAAAACCTCACTAAGCAAAAAAAATAATAATAAAGAAATAAAAAAAAAAAAACCTAGCTAGGCTACAGAGAGGGGGCCTGTCTCAAAAATCAGACAAAAGGAATGAGACCTATACATTACACACACACACACACACACACACACACACACACACACATACACACACACACACACACACATACACACACACACACACATACACACACACAAATAAAACATAAATCTAAAACAAACAAATACATAAGACATCTAAGGTTTAAACACTGTATCTCTCCCTCTATTTTTTTATTTTATTTTTTTAAAATACTTTATTTAACTTTATTTTATGTGCATTGGTGTAAGGATACCAGATCCCCTGGAACTGGAGTTACAGACAGTTGTGAGCTGCCATTTGGTTGTTGGGAATTGAACCCAGGTCCTCTGGAAGAGCAGCCAGTGCTCTTAACCACCGACCCATCTCTCCAGCCCCTGTATCTCTGCCTTCTCTTCAAAGTAGGGCTGACAGGCCAGGCGGTAGTGGCGCACGCCTTTGATCCCACCACTCAGGAGGCAGAGGCAGGCGGATCTCTGAGTCTCTGAGTTCAAGGCCAGCCTGGTCTGCAGAGCAAGTTCCACCATAGGCTCCAAAGCTACACAGAGAAACCCTGTCTCAAAAAACCAAAAGAAAAGTAGAACAGTCCTCCCCCTTGACACATGACCTTACTTCCTATCTTCCCACAGATCCAACAGAGAATGTAGAGTTCTGGGTGGGGAGTCCATCCACCACAGAAGGCTGGGTACGTGAGGGTGACGCTGTCCAGCTGTTCTGCCAGGGTGATGGTAGCCCCAGCCCAGAGTACTCCTTTTTCCGAATACAGGTAACTCACTTTGTGGTCCCTTTGCACCCCACCTGATTCTGTGTCACACTTATCTTGAGTGGTGTGGGAGAAAGACCCAGGGCAATCTCACTGGGGGACTCTAGGCAGGGGCTCTACCTCTGAGCCACGCCCCCAGCCCCTCACTGGGGGACTCTAGGCAGGGGCTCT